GGACTGCGCCGGAGGACTACCAGAGTCAGAAGACTCGTCGACCGGGACGACCGACGGGAGGGGGGTGACGTGAGACACACCAGAGGGGGCCGGACGGGGAGGCGGGGGGGGGGGGGGGGCAGGGACCACCGGGGAAGGAGGGACCAGGAACAGGGGGGAGTAACCGGGGGACCACGGTGGGGGAAGCGGCGGTAGAAGGAGACGGACTCGTCAAAGGTGACGTCGCGAGAGTGAAAGAAGCGGTGAGACGGCGGGTGGTAGAAGTGCCAGTCGGACGCGTCAAGGGGGAAACCGAGGAAGACGCAGGGGAGGGTGCGGGCAGTGAGCTTGTCCGTGCCAGAGGCACGAACTTGAGCAAGGCAGCCCCAGACGTGGAACGCAGACGCGTCACCAGGGGACCCGGTCCACAGAGGGGTCGGCGAAACCTGCGGCCGCTGGGGGTGTGGCCACAGGTTAAGCTGGTGAGCGGCGTAGCGCACGGCGAACGGCCACAGAAAATGGGGTGCACCGGCGTGGATCATGGAGGTGCGAGCCACCTCCATGACCAAACTGATGCGTCGCTCAGCGACCCCATTCTGCTGCGGGGAGTCCGGCAGGGTAAACGTCTGGGTGATGCCCTACGCACGACAGAAGCGACCAAGGACACCTGAGGCAAACTCGCCACCCCGGTCGGAGTGGAGGCGCAAGGCAGGGAGACCGCGGTGGACACGAGCAGAGACAAGCCAGGGGATGAGAACGTCAGGCACGTCGGCCTTCCGCTCCAGGGGAAAGACGGTGGTGTAACGAGTGTAGTCGTCGACAAGCACTAGGAAGAAGCGCTCGCGACGCGGCCCATGGACCGGGGCTGGGCCCCAGACGTCCATGTGCAGAGTCTGCAGTGGTGCGGTGGTAGGGGGAAAAGAGGAGGAGTGTGGGGCACGGCGGAGCCTGCCCTCGACACAAGGCGTGCACGGGGGGGCGGGGGAGGAGGGAAACTCGGGGAACGAACCGGGGAGACCAAGGACGAGACCGTGCTGGGACATGTGACGCAGACGCGAGAGTGCAGGGTGACCAAGGCGGTGGTGCCAAAGGAGAGTCGGGTGAGTGAGGGACCGACAGGAGCACGCAGCAGCAACCTGGGTGGACGCAGCGACCTGGGGGGAAGACCCAGCCGGGGAAGTCGCGGTGTCAAGTGTGAACAGGCCGGACACCGGGTCCCGGGGGAAAGTGGTAAGGGGGGCACCAGTGGCGGCCTCGGTACAGACAGCATACCGCTCGTGACCAGGGAACGTAGTGGTGACGCCAAGGTCCTGGAGGCAGCCGACACCAACTAGGTTCCTGGAGAACGAGGGGATATGCAGACCGGTGAGCGAACCTGAAGGAACCGCCGGACAGGGAAGGGAGGTGGAACTGCGGGCAACGACGGGACCACCGGAGGGGTCAGCAAGAGTAACTGCAGCGGGAACAGGCAGCGGCGTCAGCGTCGTGGAGTCGCGGAAGAAACACCGGGAGGCGCCAGAGTCCAAGGTGAAGGAAAGCGCAGCAGTCGCGCGAGGCGGCAGTGAAGCGGTGGAAGCACCGAGGCTAAGCAAAGCAGGAGATCCTACGCCTGACGCAGCAGGGGAGTCTACGCTAGGCACAGCTACGCTAGGCAACACGGGGTAATAAGAGGGAAGCACACTAGAGTCATCAGCATACATCACATGCAAGGCTGCTACAATGGCATCCATGTCCAAGTCAAAAATCTGAATGCTACGCCTAAGCAAGCTATGCCAGTCCGGGAGGTCGGGCGCCGGGCCAAAGCGCTGACGGAACAGGTCGTCTAGACGACGAAAACAGCGAGGAGTGGAATGACCGATCTTACCGCAAACGAAGCCGCGGCGAGGACCGGTCTGGATCTGGTACTGACAGCGCCCGCCTCCAGAACCACCACCCGGCGCACCACCACGCGCACGACCACCACCAGCTCCAGGCCACCCAGGCGGGAGAGCACTCGCCTGCCTCGTCTGCGGCGGCTGCTGCGGCTGCTGCGGAGGCTGCGGCTGCGGCGACTGCTGCTGCTGCTGCTGCTGCGACTGTGGAGGCAGCGGGGCAGCTGGACCGGGCAGGGTCCCCACGTCCGCACCGGCACCGGACGACCCGACTCCACCACCACCCCCACCCGCAGCCCCGCCGCCTCCGCCGCTCCCAACCTTGGGGCGGCGGCCCTTCCCCGAGCGGGACTGCACTGCAGCAGCAGTCTCAGCCACAGCGACAGAGCCGTCGGAGAAGGTACACTGAGCGGGGGCACAACCCTGAAAGATAGGGACCGGTACTGTACCGCTCGCCTGGGCGATGGAGCGGTGACGAGTCTCTATAACAGTCAGGGTGTCAACAAAGTCGGTGAGGGTGAGCGCAGCGGGGTGGATGCTAAGGAACTGGTCGCGGGCGGCGGCAAGGCGGTCAGAGAGGCGGGTGGCAAGGAGGTAGAGGGTAGAGGTCATGGGAGGCTGGTGGACTCTAAGCTGTGCATCAGTGCAGGCAGCGCGCCAGGTCTCATCTATCGAGCGCAGGTGGGCAGCGAGGTCAGAGACAGTAGGGAAAGACGCAAGGTCAGGAAAGAGCAGGGGGAGGATCAGGCGACCCACTGAGGCAGCAGGAGGGGTAGAATAGCGCTTGATGACAGCATCGAGGTAGGCCTGGGCGGTAGTAATGGTTCTAAAGCGAGGGCGCTCAGGGGCGGGGAGGGCATTGCTAATGGCGAGCTGAGCAAGGGCATCGCGGGAAAGCCAGACAGAGCGGGCAAGGGCAGCGGCGGCAGTGGACTCGCGCTCAGCGGGCGTGGGATCAGCGGGCAGCACAGCAGGGGGTCAGGGCAGGGGAGCATACCGTCTAGGTGGTCAGAAAGCGGGTGGCCGTCCTGCCGCTGACCAGTGAGGTGGCGGCGAAGGTCAGCCAACCACGCCTCGAACTCCAGAGGCTGACCCTCAGCATCAAAACGAAGCTCAGCAGCCATCAGGGGCAGTGTAGGACAGTGGAGTGCGGTGTAGTGCTGTGCAGTGCGGTGCATAGCGGTGCAGTGCGGTGCAGTGCGATCCAGTGCGGTGCAGTGCGATGTAGTGCGGTCCAGTGCGGTGCAGTGCGGTCCAGTGAGGTGCAATGCGGTGCAAAGCGGGGCAGGGAAGTGCAGGAGGGTGCAAAGCGGTGCGGGGAACGGGGGACAGTACCAGGAAGTATGTAGGGCCGGGCAGGCGCGACGGGGCCGGGCAGGCGCGACGAGGGGCCAGGCAGACGCGACGGGGCCGGGCGGCTGCGACGGGGCGGGGCGGCTGCGACAGGGCCGGGCGGCTGCGACGGGGCCGGGCTGCTGCGACGGGGTCGGGCGGCAGCGACGAGGCCGGGCGGCTGCGACGGGGCCGGGCAGGACACAGCAGGGCCGGGCGAGGGCGACAGGGGCCGGGCGGCTGCGACAGGGGCCGGGCGGGCGCCACGGGGCCGAGCGGCTGCGACGGGGCCGAGCTGGGGCGACGGGGCCGAGCAGGTGTGACGGGGCCCAGGAGGGGCTCGACGGGGCCCAGGAGGGGCACTACAGGGCCCTGGAGGGGCGCGACGGGGCCCAGGAGGGGCGCGACGGGGCCCAGGAGGGGCGCTACGGGGCCCACGGAGGAGCGCGGCAGGGCCCAGGAGGGGCGCTAAGGGGCCCAGGAGGGGCGCGATGGGGCCCAGGGAGGGGCGCGACGGGGGCCTGGGAGGGGCGCTACCAAGCCCATGAGGGGCGCGACAAAGCCCAGAAGGGGCGCTACGAAGTCCTGGAAGGGGCGCGACGGGGCCTGGAGGGGCGCTACGAAGCCCTGGAAGGGGCGCGACTGGGCCTGGGAGGAGCGCGACGGGGCCTGGAAGGGGCGCTACGAAGCCCGGGAAGGGGGCGCGACGGAGCCTGGAGGGGCGCTACGAAGCCCTGGAAGGGGGGCGCGACGGGGCCTGGAGGGGCGCTACGAGGCCCTGGAAGGGGCGCGACTAGGCCTGAGAGAAGCACAACGGGGCTAGGGGGGGGGGTCGCGACTGGGCTCAGGAGGGGCGAGAGTAGGCTAGGAGGCGCGACGGGAGGAGCGGAAGCGGTAGGTGGGGGGGGGGGGGGGGTCGAAACCTACGCGTGATACCATCTCAAAGCTAGAATTTAATGATTGATAGAGTTAGAGAGTACATGCACATATACCTAAATGTTGTACCCTCTAGGAGGTTACCCTATACAGTCTATACAAACATGATCAATAAACATGTTTGACACTCCGGGCCTCGCTTCGTCACTTCACGGCCCTTCGATCTCCTTCCCGAACCGTACCATCGCATGGTTAGACTAGCTCTGGTGTTCCTATATCTTGGCTTGCCTTTCCTTGTATCGTCATTCAGTGAGTGAACATCTCGTTATTCATTTCCGCGCTACTCTGCTTGTTCATTCATAACAACATCTGCGATTTGGGCGGATCTCTTATCGCGCAGTGATTATATTGGTGGTGCTGGCCTTTCAATTTCCGCTTTCAATCACAGCACAGCACACCCTGACTGCTGACTGGTCTCCTCTGGTGCTGGGCTGGGTTTTTTTTTCCTGTCGAAGCGAGCTTGATAACAATTGGCATTCAATGTGATTCTATTGCCCGCTGTCTTATCGATTCGCTCTGCCCGAACTGCATTACAAGATCGCGCCGGGTTTCCAATATCGAGGGACAAAGAGGGGCTAATTGTCCAATAGAATGCTTGGAACGCTTTCGAGAGAGGGGCTCGCCTTCCCACCGACCCACACAATGGGTGATGGAAGCGCAGATGCCCGCCCCCCTCCATAGGGGCACTTTCACGACCTGCCCGGTCTTGTGCGCTGCGACGGGCCGCGACAAGCAATTCGAATTGCGCCCCTGCACGCCATCCAAGCCGGAGCGCGAGGGGCTCAATCCCTTCCTCGCGGCCTGCTCGCCCCTCCTCGCTCCGAATTCAGCCCCTGCATTCAAATTCAGAGTTGCGCCCCTTGTCAGAGAGACAGGAGACTTGCTTCGGGCTAAGTTGAGTTTCCTGCGAGCTTTGCTTGGAGGCACTCATTGCAGGCGTCGCTGGTCAATTATTGCCTTTATTTAGTCTGCTTCGTCAAATTCGATCTCCCAGTTGGTTCGGTGAAACATGTCGCACTCCATGGCTCGGCTATCTGTCGCGTTGTTCGCGGCCGCCATTGTCGCGTGCTTCGCCATGACCGTCGTCGGCGGCAAATCAACAGTGGAGACGCTCACATCCGAAGTACGATACGCGTCGGAGATTGCACGGGCGTACGAGGAGCAGACTACCGCAACCGTCGCGGAACAAGTTGCCCGTCGAGCGCTGAAGTGAGTGTTAATCGCTCGACTTCGTCACAAAACCTTCCACTGCCGCGCGCTTTGCGCTCGTTTTCAAATCAGGCAGCGGGCACCATCACACTGGTCTTTCCGTGCTCACTATATCAATACCACTACCCCCTCCGTTCGCCATGGCAGGTCGTCCAAAAGCAAGAAAAGCAAGAAGAGCAAGAAGAGCGACAAGAGCAACAAGAGCAGCAAGAGTAACACGAGTAGCAAGAGTAGCACGAGTAGCAAGAGCGACAAGAGCAGCAAGATCACAACGAGTAACAGCACGTCGAGCGGCAGCGGTGGCAGGAAGAAGGGCGTGGGTGCGGCGGAAGTGGCGGGGTCGGGCAAGCGGCCGTCGGGCGTGTGGACGGCGAACCCCGTCGACAAGTGCTGGTGGGCGGAGGACTGGAAAACCCACCGTCAGGAGCTCGGCAACTGCGCGCCGGGGTTTGCGGAGGGCACGACGGGTGGCAAGGGTGGGAAGCTGTACATCGTGACGACGGAGGCGGACGACCCGGTGAACCCGAAGCAGGGCATGCTGCGACACGCCATCATCCAGGTGCGACGCCATTCGATGCTTACGACATCGCAGGCCACGTTCATTGAGCTGGATGCGTCGGCTCGGATACTGCCCGTGCATCTCATACTCGCAAATCCCCTGCAATTCGTTCTCGCGACTGTCCCATCCCGTCATGTGAGTTAATCCACTCCCCATGCCCTCGTCTTCTTCCCTCGCGCGCGCAGGACGAGGCGCTGTGGATCGTGTTTGAGCGCGATATGGTGTTCGACAAGCTCTCGGCGGAGATGATGGTCAACAGCGACAAGACCATCGACGCGCGCGGCCGCGCCGTTGTGATTCAGAACGGGCCGTGCCTTCGCCTGGAGCGGGTTACCAACGTCATCGTCGAATCCGTCATCTTTCGCAACTGCACCATGCGCACGTACGTATAGCACGCGATCAAGCCGAGGCAATATCGTGCACAACGCGTCTCATCGCTACAGGCTAGCCGCAACCACACGGTGCGTCGTTCCGCCATTCGCCTGCAGCCACCAGCCCCTCCCTGCAACTCCCCGCTCCCACTCATCCGTCCCTTGCGTCCTCCCCTCCCCCGGCCCTCCTACCCTCCCATTCGTCGCAGCGGCACGATCAAGGTGCGGTCGGGGAAGGGGCTGGAGGTGAAGGACTGGCGCGACGGTAACGCGGTGGAGGTGTGGGGGTCGACCAAGGTGTGGATCGACCATTGCGGGTTCGAGAAGGCGCTGGACACGCAGGTGAACATCGTGGTGGGGTCCACGGACGTGGCGGTGACCAACAACTACTTCGTGAACCAGGACGAGGTGATGCTCATGAGCAACAACGACGCCGCCACCACGGACGACAACATGCGCGTCACCGTCGCACTCAACGTCTTTGGCCAGAACTGCAACCAGCGGATGCCGCGGTGCGTGCTCCGCCTTCTCCCCACCTTGCGTACTTCAATTCGTTGGAAATTTAAATGCCGACGCATTATTTCTAGGGTGGCTCGTCTCCTAGCCTCAATTCTATCCGAAATCCTCCTCTCGACGCGCTCGTCTGGCAGGGGGAGACACGGGCAGTTCCACGTGGCGAACAACTACTACCCGTACGGCTGGGGCATCTACGCCATCGGCGGCTCCGCTGGCGCGCGCTTCCGCAGCGAGGGGAACTACTTCGTGGCGGGGAGCGTCAAGGAGGTATGAGGGGCAACAAGCGCAGCTATTGAGACTCACTCCCACGCCTGTAGCTGACGTCCGCGTCAAGACAAGCCGACATGTTAGTCGTGCCTGCGGCCCTTGTCTGATTTATTTTTCCCCCCGTTGCCGCGTGGTGAGCGCAGGTGACGAAGCGGCAGGACACGCACGGGTGGGAGTCGAAGCAGATCAGCGACAAGTCTTGGACCAAGATCAAGGTGTCGAGCGCGGGGTGGGAGAAGTGGCCGTGGCAGTCCATCGGCGACCACTTCGAGAACGGCGCCTTCTTCGTCGAGTCGGGCGCCAACGTCTTCCAGCCCGCGTACGCCTTCACTCCCGTCGCCGCCAAGGACGTTCCCAAGGCCACCGACAGAGCCGGCCCGCTCTTCCGCCGCTATAAGAAGCAGCAGTGACGTGGCAAGTCGCAACCCGTTTGGGGAGTGCGAGTTGAATAAAGCGCTGTTACTTCGTTGGGCTTACACATGCCTCGAGGGGGCTCAGTTGACATTCGCGTCCCTTTTACGGGTGCTTCCGTTGCGGCGCTAGTACTCCTATGAGTTGCACTTAGTGAGTTTCCATGTGGCTTGGCTTGTAGGAAGTTGGTTTAGTCTACTACGTAGGTAGAAGCCCTTATGGCTTTTATATATGCCTTGGTTGCAAAGCCAGACGCTGTAGCATAAATTAATGCGTTGTTACTTCGACGGATGTAATTGGAATGATTGGTCATATGTTCCCACCATGTTGGGATGTATGTGTATTGTGGCCTAAACCCTGAATAAAGGTTACAAACCGTGCTCTGTACTATCATTCTACGTGCACTGTGCTCAGTGCCCCTACCAACAGCAGCACCATATCCATCACAGCTGCAGGCTCTGCAGTGCCACCTTGGCAGCCAGCGCCGCCCGGCTCTGCTCTGCATACTGACGGGCCAATACTACCCGCCTCATGGTGTCGGTCTCCTCCATGGCGGCCAGGCGCTTCTGCAGCAAGCCATGCAGCTCCGCTGCCGACGCGCCTGGGAGGGAGGGGAGAGGAGGGCAGTGTGGAGGGGGCTTGGGACGAATGAGGGGCACAGGTGGTCACGTACAGCCAATCACAATCACAGGGCCATGAATGTTAGCATTAGAGGGGGCAGGAGGAGACGGCTGAGTGTAGCATGGCATGGCATGGCATGGCATGTGTCACCTGCTACTGGTTGCAGAGCAGCGAAGGTCACTAGCTCCTCATACGATGGCAGGTATGCCCGGTAGCCCCGCACTTCTGGGGCTTCAACCGAACGCACGCCTCCCAATGCCTCCCTGCTCTCACCGCCCTCCTCAACGCCACCTGCCTTTTCACTCTCACTGCTGCTGCTGCTGCTGCTGCTGCTACTGCCGCTGCTGCCAGCAGGCCCCACGAAATCAGGGTCGAGGGACATGGTGTTGGGGTCGACAGCCACTGTGCTCTGGATGGCGGGCGTCGGCAGCCCCTGGAAGCCCAGGAACCGGGCGGCAGACTCCAGCTGTTCGGGTGGCAGCTGGTCGGGCTCCACGCCATCCTCATCGGGCAGGATGGACCACGCTCCCGCCGACGCCGATGGCGATGGCGATGCCGATGGTGATGGTGATGCTGTGCTGCTGCTTCCACTGTTGCTGCTCGAGGCAGCTGCCTGTGGCGCGGTGGCAGTGGACTGCTGTGTAGCAGCAGCAGTGGCTCCTGGAGCTGCTGCAGCTGCTGGTGCTGGTGGTGCGGGTGCAGCAGCAGGGGAGGCGGTGACGGTGTCCACCCAGCGCAGAGCCCTCTCAAGCGGGGTCTGCAGAGGCACGTCCGAGGTGGTCTGCAGAGGGGGAGGGGGGCGATTCACTCATGAGCCAAACGTAGAGGCAAGCAGCACTGCGTCATGCACGTGAGCCTCTCGTGAATGATGCCACCACTCACTCTTTCAGTGCAACCTACCTTGTGTTTTCAAGGTGACAAATGCCGTACCTTGATCTTGATCTGCAGCTGCTGCACGTCCCTCAGCAGCGCCCTCACTTCCGCCACAGCCCCCACCACCTCCTCCCCCGCTCCCCCCCCTGCCCGCTCGTCCCTGACCACCGTGACCCGCCCCCTGAGGAAGGGCTCGACCTGCGAGAGCTGCTGCAGCTTGATGCGCCCCACGCCCCTCACCGCCACCAGGGCGCCCACCTGCAGCTTGCGCACCTGGGGGAGGAGGGGCAGGGAAGGGCAGCGGAGGGCGGGTGAATCAGGAGAGCAGGACAAAGACATGGTGAGAAGGGGAGGGGTGCGCGGGGGAATGAGCAGGAGGGGACAGACAAGGCAGAGGCAGGAGGAGGGGGAGGGCAAGGAGTACGCACGCTCTCCACATGGGCGAGGCAGCCGTAGGAGGCGACGAACGTCATGCCCTGGCCGTCGTCCGCCCGCATGGGCTCCAGCACCACGTGGCCCAGCAGCCCGTGGCTGCGCGATAGCACCTGCGGGGCGTGCAGGGAGTGCATAATACATGAAGCACAATGTGGTTGGTGGTGATGGGGTGGTTGCAGGCAGAGCATGGAAGGATCTGCAATATCGTTTAATTATAGGTTGTTGTGATGGACATAAGGTTTGTTTCGTTGGTAGGATAGTTTGGTGAGATGGCTTTGCCGGAGGAGCTCTTGGGGGTGGAGTAGAGTGGTCGTTGACCCCATAACGCCCTGGCAGGCCTGACTTTCCCCTCCCACTCACCCCCTTGCACCCGCCCCACCGCCCCCTGCCACTGACCCCACTGCCCCGTGCCACTGACCCCACTGCCCCGTGCGACTGACCCCACTGCCCCGTGCGACTGATCCCACTGCCCCGTGCGACTGACCCCACCGCCCCGTGCGACTGACCCCACCGCCCCATGCGACTGGCCCCACTGCCCCATGCGACTGACCCCACTGCCCCGTGCGACTGACCCCACCGCCCCGTGCGACTGATCCCACTGCCCCGTGCGACTGACCCCACCGCCCCGTGCGACTGATCCCACTGCCCCGTGCGACTGACCTCCTCCAAGAGGGCGAGGTAGCGCGCCTCGTACAGGTGCAGCGTCTTGGACGACCCGGGTAGGAACACCTGCCGCCCATGGACCACAAACGAAGAAAGGACAATGTGTGTGAATGGTCAAGCTCTGTAGGTCCGTGGGTCGCAAGGCCACGACTGTTGCTGATCCCCTTGACCCCGCTAATCCGCCTCCGTTGACCCCCTCGAATCACCTCCGTTGACCGCGTTGACTTACCTCGGCGGGGTTGAACGGCAAGCAAGGCAGCTCCATCACAATCCCCTCTTCGCTGCTGGCGTGAGCGCTGTCTCTGCTGCCTGCGCGTGTGCATGCAGCCAGGAGGGCAACAGGATGCCGAGGAGTGGTAAGAGCATACTCAGATGGTGAGTGAGAGCGATGCATTGATGCGTGACGGCACGGAACGGAGCACGGTGAGGGCGGAGAGAGAAGCCGGTGCACGGAACGAAGGAGCTCTGGCAGTGAGGTGAGAGGTGGAGAGGAGAGGTGGAGGGGGGAATGCAAGCAGGAAGCACCTTACTCGGCTCTACGGGGAACTTGCTCGCGCGGTCATCGGCAGCTTCCACGGAGACTCGCCGGGGCCGTCGGAATCGACCCGGCTGCTGCTGACGTTTCAACCAATGCAACGGCACTCGCGAGAGCGAGGAGAGAGGCACGCGGCATTGGGAGGATGCGGCGGGAGAAGAAGGACGGGGGAACATGGCTGGCGACGAAGGAATCTGGCACCTGTTTGAGAAGGAATCCGCGAGAGAGCCATATTGCCGACTTCTACGCACTGAAGGGGCTGGCAGCGGGCAAGATAGTGGAGTGTGGAGGCGGCTGCAACGAACGAGGTCCATGGCGATCGCGATCACGATGGCCTTGCGTTCCGCGTGCTACGAAAACGACGCTTTGAAGAGGATCAGTGAAATGACCAGACACGGATGCCCAGGAACGCGGGGTTAATGCCGTGCTTGCATGGAAACCTGGGGACTGCTGAGAATGAAGAGCTGCGAAGGAGAAAGTGGGCAGAAGGATGGAGCTGGGAGGAAATGTGCGAGACTGCAGTTTTGGCGGGAAAGCCAGAGCCGCTCGCGTGGCTGCTTCTGGATGAATGATGGTCCTCATTGATTAGGTAGACGCCGACCGGCGTTCGTGCATCATCGTTATAATCGAATGTCGGAAAAACTCGAGCTGAATAATACAATCCGAAGTGAGTGTTCAGGCCTAATTGTGCGAGTTGCATCTTGTCAACACAGAATACTAGAAGCATTACATAATTACAACTCATCCTTCCTCTCGTCCTCATCCCCCTCTTCCTCCTTTCTATTAGCAATCTCCTCCGCTTCCGCCAATTCTTCCGCCAAGGGAGGAGCTGCAGCGGCCTTCTTGGCTCCCTTGTGTTTCCTGACGAAGGCGAGCAGACTGGCCTTGGAGTTGTCGCCAGTGTAGGGCACCGCAACTCCCGCGGATGTGTAGAGGTAGAAGGTGGGCAGCGCCTTGATGTCAAACTTATCAGATGGAATGTCGTTGGCGGAGAAGTCCTGGAAGGGAGGAAGTGGGGGTCATTTGGGCACAATACAGGGCATGCAGAGAAGCAAGTGCACATTGGCATCATGAAACTTGGGTTGCAGTGCCGTTTGTGGCTGCGGCTGCGGCTGCGGCTGCGGGGGAGGGGAGTAAAGCGATCGCAAAAGGCCATGAGATCATCAGGATTGAACACTAGAAATAGTGTGCTTTGGGGAAGCGTTGTGCATGCATGCATGTGTGTCACTCACCATCTTAGCAACAACGACGTCCCTCTGGCCAGAGAGGGCTGCTGCCACGTCCTTGAGCACGGGTTCCAGGTCAGCACAGGCCGAGCACCACGGCGCGTGGAACTCCACCAGCACTGGCGTTGGGGGGCATGGAGAAGGGGGGGGGCGGGAAGAAAAGGGAATGCAAAGTTGGAAGAACTTGGAGATTTCAAATTTCAAGAAACGGCATAAGGGCATGCAGGGATGTATGACGTTCAGAGTAGTGAGGGCATGCACTTGATGGAACTACGCTGATGGCAGTGAATGGCTGGCGCATGGTGACAGCACAGTTGCACCAGCACATCAGCAACAGCAGGGGCGAGTGCAGGCAGCGCTGACCGTTCTTCCTGGAGTTGAGCACTTGGTCCCTGAAGCTGTTGGCCACCAGCTTCTTGACCGCCCCCGAGTCCGACTCCGGCACCGCCTCACTCTTCAGCACCCGCTCCGCCCGCCCCGCCTGTTCTCATGCAATGGAATGACGGCCAGGTGGGAGAGCACGTGGGGAGGAGAGGTCACTCGCTGCCGATACAAGCAAGGAAGGGCGCATGCAACATGGCCCGCATCGATAACCCACACCCGACAGCCGACAGCCGACGACAGCCGACAGCCGACGACAGCCGACAGCCGACAGCTGACGACACCCGACAGCTGACAGCCGACAGCCGACGATAGCTGACAGCCGACGACACCCGACAGCCGACGGCCGACGACACCCGACAGCCGACAACCGACGACAGCTGACAGCCGACGACAGCCGACAGCCGACAGCCGACGACAGCCGACAGCCGACAGCCGACAGCCAACAGCCGACAGCCGACAGCCAACAGCCGACAGCCGACAGCCGACAGCCGGCAGCCGACAGCCGACACCCGTCAGCCGGCACCCGACAGCCGACACCCGACAGCTGACAACCGACAGACGACAGCCGACAGCCGACACCCGACACCCGACAGCAAACAGCCGACAGCCGACAGCCGACGACAGCCGACAGCTGACAGCCGACAGCCGACAGCCGGCAGCCGACAGCCGACAGCCAACACCCATCAGCCGGCAACCGACAGCCGACACCCGACAGACGACAGACGACACCCGACACCCGACACCCGATAGCCGACGTCCGACACCCGACAACTGACACCCGACAATCGACACCTGATAGCCGACACCCAACACCCAACACCCGACACCCGACAGACGACAGCCAACACCAGACAGCCGACAGCCGACACCCCGACACCCGACAGCCGACACCCGACAGCCGACACCCGGCAGCCAACACCCGACAGCCGGCACCCGACACCCGACAGCCGACACCCAACACCCAACACCCGACACACGACAGACGACAGCCAACACCCGACAGCCGACATCCGACATCCGACAACCGACAGCCGACACCCGACAGCCGACAGCCAACACCCAAAACCCAAAACCCGACACCCGACAGACGACAGCCAACACCCGACACCCGACACCCGACACCCAACAGCCGACTACCGACACCCGACAGCCGACACCCGACAGCCGACACCCGACAGCCGACACCCGACAGACGACACCCGACAGACGACAGCCGACACCCGACACCTGACAGTTGACACTCGACACCAGGCAGCTGCCACCCGGCAGCTGGCAATCCAACAGCAATACCCCCACAGCCGAGTGGGCGTGGGGGGAAGCAGAGGATGTGGTGGGAGGGAAAGGGGCAGGCCAGGGTGGAGGGGATAGGGCAAGGGGGAAGCAAGGCAAGACAGGGAGGGAGAGAGGAGGGGCATGGCGGATGCAGGGCTGTAATACTGCCACGTGGCAAGAGGGAGGCACATGAGGGCGACCTGAGGGGAGGGCAGAGGCGAGGGAGGCAGGACCTGAGGGAGGGCGGACCTGTGCTGAGAAAAGTTACCTGGAAGTCAGCAAGGAAGGGGGCGATGTCGGAGGGGGCGATGTGAGTGCGGATGAACTTGGCGTCGTAGCGCGGGTCGTGGATCACCATGGCAGGCGTGTCGCTCTGCGCCAAGCCGAAGTACTGTACAGGGTGGCAGGGTGTAAGGCGGAGGGAGAAGGGGATGTGCAACGGGTGGTGAGAGTATGGGGAAAGAGTTTGGTATGTGTGAGTGAGGACACACAGGGAAGCTGAGGGTGCTGGCAGTTGGAGGCAGAGGAGCCATGGACCTCGCACACGAGATCGTGTTGTGATCATCCTCGAATAGCCGCATGACTTCACATGATATCAGCACATGCCCCTCACACACACCCCACCTTGAGCACATGCCCCTCACACACACCCCACCTTGAGCACATGCCCCTCACACACACCCCACCTTGAGCACATGCCCCTCACACCCCACCTTGAGCACATGCCCCTCACACCCCACCTTGAGCGCATGCCCCTCACACCCCACCTTGAGCACATGCCCCCCACACCCCACCTTGAGCACATGGCGCTGGCACCCACCTTGAGCACATGGCGCTGGCACCCACCTTGAGCACATGGCGCTGGCACCCACCTTGAGCACATGGCGCTGGCACCCACCTTGAGCGCATGGCGCTGGCACCCACCTTGAGCGCATGGCGCTGGCACCCACCTTGAGCGCATGGCGCTGCCACCCACCTTGAGCGCATGGCGCTGGCACCCACCTTGAGCGCATGGCGCTGCCACCCACCTTGAGCGGGAAGGGCAGCAGCAGCAGCAGCAGTTAGATAGAGCAGCACCCACCTTGAGCGCATGGCGCTGGCACCCACCTTGAGCGCGTGGTCGTTGGTGGCGGCCTCCCCGATGACAAGGCGGATGCTGTCGGGCTGCTCCTGCGCCGCCTCCACGTACCGGCTGCGGAACTCAGGCGCGTCCGGCAGGCTGTACGACAGGAACAGCAGCGACTGGAGGGGGGTGGCGAGGAACAGAGAGGGGAAGGGAGAGCTTGCTGTGGCACAGGGACACAGGTGAAAGCATGGCATGGCATGGCATGGCATGGCATGGCAACCACCCAGAGTCACGCAGGCAGCAACAGCAGCAGCAGCAGCAGCAGTTAGATGGAGTGGGAAGGGCAGAGGGCTGAGGAGAACAGGAGGGCGCACCTTGTTGGTGGGCGCCTGGAAGACCTGGGCGAGGAAGGGGCGGTCCTTGGGGTCCTGGCTGAACTCCACCACACGCGGCACCGCATGCCGCTCTATGAACACCCTCAGGGCCGCGGGGGTGAAGTCCTGTAAGCAAGGGGGGTGCAGGAAGCACAGGATGCATGCAGCAAGGAATACGCATGACCCTTGACCTGCCTGGTGACAGCATCACCACGCGGCGCATGGCATGACATGGCATGGCGCTGTGTGCGTGAACTCAACACTGAGCCAGTGAACTCAACGCTGAGCCAGTGAACTCAACGCTGAGCCAGTGAACTCAACGCTGAGCCAGTGAACTCAACGCTGAGCCAGTGAACTCAACGCTGAGCCAGTGAACTCAACGCTGAGCCAGTGAACTCAACGCTGAGCCAGTGAACTCAAGCAAACGAAAGCACAGGGGGCGTGGGGAAAACCGGGGGGGAGAGGCCAGCTGCGCCCCTTTGATCTCCGGACCCACAGATTCACCTCCCCCTTGGCCCCCGCCCCACCTCAGAGTCGGAGAACCCCTCGTCGAAGTGCTTGAGCAGGCGCACAGCAGGGGCGGAGAGCGCGGGCCCCTTGGCGGGCAGCAGGGCAGCGTCCGTGGTGTGCTTGAAGACATAGTCCGTGCGCAGGTCCCGCGCCACCGACACAAACGTGTCGAACTCGGGAGAAGAGAGAGAGGTGAACAGACCCACCTGCGGGGGTTGGTGGTGGGGGAGGGGGGGGGGTTGCAGGGATGTGGTGTTGAAATGTGGCAGAAGGGCAGAGTGCGGGATGGAGAGAAGGGGGGTGGTGGCAATGAAGTCCAAGGACGGTTGGCTGGAGAGCGGCAGCAAGGGAGGTGAAGCAATGAGAAGAGAGGCACATCTCGCACAGGCGCACAGGCGACCACGAGGAGGCACTCACCACTAGGAGAGGAGGCACTCACCACGAGGAGGCACTCACCACGAGGAGGCACTCACCACGAGGAGGCACTCACCGCGAGGAGGCACTCACTGCGAGGAGGCACTCACCGCGAGGAGGCACTCACCGCGAGGAGGCACTCACCACGAGGAGGCACTCTCCGCGAGGAGGCAGTCACCGCGAGGAGGCACTCTCCGCGAGGAGGCACTCACCGCGAGGAGGCAGTCACCACGAGGAGGCACTCACCACGAGGAGGCACTCACCGCGAGGAGGCACTCACCGCGAGGAGGCACTCACCGCGAGGAGGCACTCACCGCGAGGAGGCACTCACCGCGAGGAGGCACTCACCGCGAGGAGGCACTCACCACGAGGAGGCACTCACCACGACCACACTGTCGTCCTCCATGGCGCGTTTGAGGTCGGAGCCCGACCGCACCTTGGTGGACGCCGGCCCCGCCTGCTTCTTCAGGTGCGCCACCAGGCCCCCTGCCTCCCGGGGGCCCTTGTACGTCAGGGGGGATGCGTAGTCCCTGGGGGGGGGTGGGGGTAGAGGGTGAGGAGACGGGAGGAGGAATGACGAGGTGAGACGAGAGAGGATGAGGCATATGAAGCTCCTCACGGTCGCCCACGTGCTTGAAGCACTCACCAGAGCAGGCGACTCACCACAGCACGCGACTGAGCAGAGCAGGCGACTCCCCACAGCACGCGACTGAGCAGAGCAGGCGACTCCCCACAGCACGCGACTGAGCAGAGCAGGCGACTCCCCACAGCACGCGACTGAGCAGAGCAGGCGACTCCCCACAGCACGCGACTGAGCAGAGCAGGCGACTCCCCACAGCACGCGACTGAGCAGAGCAGGCGACTCCCCACAGCACGCGACTGAGCAGAGCAGGCGACTCCCCACAGCACGCGACTGAGCAGAGCAGGCGACTCCCCACAGCACGCGACTGAGCAGAGCAGGCGACTCCCCACAGCACGCGACTGAGCAGAGCAGGCGACTCCCCACAGCACGCGACTGAGCAGAGCAGGCGACTCCCCACAGCACGCGACTGAGCAGAGCAGGCGACTCACTTGCGGAAGATCTTGATGGTGGGGAAGCCCCCCACGCCGTATTTCCTGGCGATGGCCTTGTTGCTCTTCTCGTCGCCGTTCACACGCGCCAGCACGATGTCCGACCCCTCCTCCGCCAGCTGCTCCGCCGCCTTCAAATACTGCTCATGGCGCGTCATGCCACGCGGCACAGCAATGCATGCAGGCGGACAGTCATGTGCAATGCAGCAGCACGAAGCTAATGTCAGGCGTCTGTGGGTGAGGGTGGTGGCGTGCCATGAGGCAACTACGGTAGGTACGAGGAGACGCATTGCAGAGACCGTGCACTATGCATTCATGCTATAATGCGGTAATGCCGTGTTTCTGTGCTCGCCCTCCCTCTGTTTCTCCTCTTCCTCTCAATCGCTTCCTCCTTCATCTCTCTCTCGCATCTTCCTCGTGTCATGTTTCCCTCTCTCCTCCACCTCTCCCTCGCCCCCTACCTCCGGCTCTAGTCGCTTGCAGTGGCCGCACCTGCCAGCGCAAGAAGAGGACGCGGTGGGGAATGGGGGTAAGGGAGGGGGGAGATGCGGAAAATGTTTGAAAAGGGGGAATGAGGGGGGGGGGGGAGGAGGAGGAGGGAGGGGGGGGAGGAAGGGGGGGGGGGGGATCCAGGGGGGATTGGCGAAACGGTTGTGGGGGGAGGGGGATGAATGAGAGCAAAGCAGCGGTGTCAGCCGCGCAATACATTGCAAAGAAAGCGTCGGGAATAGCACGGTAAGACGAAAGCCATTACTGGATGCAATGTCGGAAAGACGTGTGACCATATCGCGAGGAGACTACGCCCCGGAGCGAATTTAGCGAGACTAAACGAGCATCGGAAGGCGAGCATGAGCGCGCACCAGGGAGCGTAGAACATGACGGCGATGAAGTCGTGGCTCTTAACCTCCGACTCGAAGTTGGTGAAGTCGAGCGACAGCACCTTGTCGTCGTCGGCACCACGCGACAGGCCGACTACCGCTAACACCGCGAGCAGCGCCAGTGCAGCACGCAACCCAGCCATGGCGAGAAATGCAGCCTGGATTCTTTGCCTAGACTAGAAAAGAAAAACTACTACGGATACTGGGGACCTAGGGATTTTACAAACTCGAGGCGTGGGAGCAGTGGTCCGGTCCAGTCCAGTTCAATGATAATCCCAGAGCAGAGGGGGGGTGGGGAAAATACTCTTGGCGAGCCCAGTCAGTCACCAAGTTATCCGTGTGCTCGCGACATTCACAGCACAGGTATCCAAAACACAGGAACACTAGAAACCAAAGGTATACAAAATACTCAAACCACCACTAGATCTACCTACAACTAGTAGGCTATAGCACACCTCTCCAATAATCCTTGAGCCCTAATTTGGGCCAGGAAAATATAAAACTACTTGGACTACAGTAAGCTAGACACGTGACATAACCTGCTTTTATGAATCACACAGAATACATTGCACTTGGGGCTTCTAAGCGGACTGAACGGCCTGCTGCAAGAGAGCTTGCTGCTCGGGTGGTAGTGCCCCCACTATCTCCGCTGGTAGGCTCCGCAGCAACGTCACTGCTCGCTTGGCTGTCTCCTCCGTTGCCAGGTCCGTGCCGGCCTTGAGCACCTGGGCGAAATTAACGTGGCAAAGTTGGCAGATATGAGGAGGCACCAGAAGGGGAGGAGCAGCTGTGAAATCTCAACATGCATGGCATGGCACACACCAGGGCTCAACGCAACGACTCCAGCAGAGCAGGAAGGAAGGTCTTGCAGGCACGTACCTCAAGCAGCACGCCCACAATGTGGGGCAGGTTCTGGTTGTTGGGGCCGAGAATGCGAGGGTCCGACCTGAACAGCACAGTGAGGGGGAGAGGGGGGCGGCCGAGTGTCAGATGATTGCCCAGCACAAAAAAACCCCATCACAGGTCGAGCAGGGATGGCAGGCATGAGCCAGTAGCTCACCTTTCCAGCAGGCCACAGAGCTGCGCGTGCGCCACCTTGGCCTCGGCGCGGTCCTCGCGGATGGGCAGGTAAGCGAGCCACACGGAGAGCACGTGCGCCGAGTCAAAGGGCGCCTGCGCCTGGTGCTCGCACAGGCGGCCCAGCGCGGAGATGGCGTTGTCCGTGGCTGAGACACTCAGCTCGCCCTTGCTGTCCGCACTGCTTACCACCTGCCCCAGCCGCGCCACTGTGTCTGCAGGGGCGTGGGAGGACATGCCATGCCATGCACACATCATGCCATGCCGTGCAATGAGCATGCCATTGGGAGAGCGGCGGGAGGATAGGGAGGTAACAAAGAGATGGACGGATTAGAGAGGGGGGGAAATGAACAGTGGGGGAATACGAGATCTTGGGGACAGGTGGATGTGCGAATGAGACAATGGGCAGCGCAGTGCAAAGGAGGGGGTGACGGGAGGCAGGTTAGGGGAGGAAGAGGAGAACAGGAGAGTGGAAATGGTGGGGAGTGCAGATGGAGAGCCAGCTGCAGGCGGAGGGCACGCACCTGGTACATATGGTGTGAAGGCAGCCCCCCCATGCTGTGCACAGATGCCGATGCCATACGCTGCTGACTGCAGCAATGCACATGGGGTCCATGGGGCATGAGTGAACAGAGGCACTTGTCAGTCAGAATGACAGGATGAAAGAGAGCGAGTGGGACAACCACAGTACACAGACTCCACGGAAAAGTGTGCTACGCCAAAAAGCGTAAACCACTCACGCAGGACAGCATTACCTGTCGAATCTCGGGCAGGGGGTCGAGGACGGCTTCAAGGATGTGAGGCAGGAAGGCGGGGAAGTAACTGGTGGCGCGTGGGGGGGAGGAGAGGAGAAGGGGCCACGGGTGGTGCAGAGGGAGGCGGATTAACACAAGGGACGGGGCGGGGGCCCTAAGGGGTAACAGGAGTGTGGAGCGAGGGACAGGCATCAATGGTCAGGAGCGGCAGCGCCATCGGCACGGCACGAGCCCGAGAAGAGCGCACAAGGAGAGGACAGGGCGGGGGTGGCACCTGGCAGCGGCGTCGCCCATGTTCTCCGCCAGGTCGTCGAAGATGCAGATGCCCACACGCCGCTCCGTGGATGGCCGGCTCTTGTCCTGGTGATTGCCGCACGGGGGAGGGGATGGGGTGGGGGAGGGGGAGCGGGAGGGGCAGAGCGGACAAGCGGAGGGTGGGAATGGGAGTTAGCCAGGGTTTAGGGTGGAGCATGTGAGAGCAGTTGAGTGCAATAGCAGTGCAGTATGTGTGATAGCCCTTTGGATTGGGAACATGAGGGCTGGAGACTGACCATCATGTGCAGCACGAAGGGAGCGAGGTCATCGGCGAAGGGCTTGAAGCTGGCCTTGAACACGCGCATGAGCTCGCCTATGCAGTCGCCCACCTGCCACCACACACCACGGCACAATGTCCACAGGCACCCAGATCTGAGTCACGTCAAAAACACCTCAAAATGCATCGTGCGCCCCTTCTCGTCCCTCTCCCCACATCGCACTCAATCACAGCTCCCTGCTGCCACCCCCCTCCCCCTCCCCCTCCCCCTCTCACAACCATCAACCTGCACTTGTCTCCCACAGCAGATGTCCCCCACCTCTCCGCACATACCCTCTCCCTTCCCCTTTCGACCCCCTCACGCGCCCCTCTCCACCCCCTCCCCTCCCCCTCCCCTGTCACCGTCTCTCCGCATTCCCTCTGTACCTGGTCCGGCACCCACCTGGACCAGCACCCACCTGGACCAGCACCTCGTCCTCGTGCTCGCTCTCCTCCCCATCAAGCACCTCTGTCTGTCTGACTGCGCTCCAACCGCGCACCCCTATGCCCCCCGACACCCGTGCGCCCCTGTGTCCGCCCCACCCCCAGCGCACCTGGTCGAGCACCTCGTCCTCCTGCCCGTTCTCTACCTCCAGCAGCTCGCTCTCCTCCTCGTCCAAGTCCTCCACGTATTTGGGTGCGCTCCACTCACTCCCTGCCCTCCCTTGGCCCATACCCCCCCTCCCCCACCTTCACCGGTGCGGCACCCACCTGGTCGAGCACCTCGTCCTCCTGCTCGTTCTCCTCGTCCAGCAGCTCGCTCTCCTCCTCGTCGAAGTCCTCTGTCTGAGTGCGCTCCAGCCGCTCCTTGCGCCGCCCGCGGCTGCCCTCCACCACCGCCTTCAGCTGCGCCACCACCTGCCCCACCTGCTCCGCGCTCAGCTCCGCTCCCCCCAGCTGTTGCGCCCACAGGGGAAAGGGAAAGCGGCGAACAGGACGGCAAGAGGAGTATATGAGCAGGGGTGGGTGTCACACTTCAAAAAGGGTTTCAACCAATTGACTGCTGTTGGCAATACCTGATCTCACCTGAATGCATTCTTGCAGAGACTCGAGCATGACCACAATCATCTCCACTTCTGGCTCCTGCCACAGGGGAAGACCCAGGAGATTCCAACAAAGCACAGGGGGGGCTGTGTAAGCGGGGTAGATGAGCATTGTTTGAATGAACACCGAGTGGCAGAGAATGATTTCGCTGGCCTCAACCACACTGCTGCCACTGAACCCATGCCTGCCAGCCACTCTCACGGTCTCACCCTCGAAATGACCCACATTGACTTGAATAGCACTCCTATCAGTGAGCACCCCCATCAGTCAACACGCACATCAGTCCTCGCCCACCTTAGTCAAGACCTCGACGAGTGGCGGCACGAGGAAGTCGACCATCTGCTTGAGGTAGCGCTTCTCGCCCTCCGCCGTCACCGTCACGGCCGGCGCCACGCCCTTCTCCACCGCCAGCTTGCCGTCCAGCAGCAGCTCGGGGATGGCTGTGTGCGGGGGGGGGGGGGGGGGGGGGGATGATGAGATGTGCGAGGAGGAATTGGGCATGCCATTGCCACTGCCACACCTCCCTCCACCGCCAGCTTGCCGTCCAAGCAACGTGCACATTGGAGAGGGACGGTTTGTGTGGGGGGTGGGACGAGGCAGAGAGGGGAAGGATGTCCGAGCAGAGTGGTGAACAACGGGGCGACGATGGGTGGGACGGAGGGGAGGGAGAGAGCATAGGGCGTGGTGGCGTACATTGCGCAGCGGCCTTGCAGACATCCTTGTGGAAGTAGAGGAGAGAGAGAAGGCGGGGGGCAGGGGGGGGCGGAGGGCGTACACTGAGCGGCGGCCTTGCGGACCTCCTCGTGGAAGTAGAACTTGAGCAGCGGCACCATGAGCTGCGCCACCTGGTCGATCCAGGGGAAGAAGCCCTCCTTGAGCTCGTCCGCGTAGCAGCACAGCATGTTGCACGCCGTCGCCTTCTCCTCCAGCATGCTCGTGCGGATCCCTATCTTCTTGTCGCCGATCGTTATCGTCTCCACGCTGCACACAGGGGGGGGATGGGGCGACATGCGGTCCCCACGGAAGAGGTAGCGACGTGGTGAGGTGAGGGCCATGCATGCAGAATGCACAACAGACAATATACACCCGCCCTTTTCCCCCCCACACGCACAGCACACAAAGGCAGGCAGCGCACAGCGCACAAGGACACAACCCACCTGTCGTCGTCGTCATCATCGTTGGCGGTGTCGTCATCGATGTCGGAGATGGTGACGTCGGGCTTGAGCGACGCGGAGTGCAGCAGCGGCGGCATCACCACGTGCATGAAGGGCAGGAACTCCGCGCCCAGACACTTGCACAGCCGCGCCCACGCCTGGCGGGTGGGGCGGGGAAGAGTGAGAGGAGGAGGGGGGGAAGACACGAGGGGTAAGTGATTGACGGAAGTGGAGTGTGCGGGGGGGGGGGGGGGGGGGAGGGGGAGGGGAGGGAGGAGATTTTAACAGCAGATAAGAAATGGAACGTGTAGCACATGCTGACGTCATACCTGCGGCATGTAGCTCCGAGCCTTCAATGTACCCACCCTCCCTCGCTCCTCCGCACCTCGCAATCTTCCCTGCAACCGCGCAGCCCCCGTGTCTCACCTGCAGCATGTAGCTCATGGTGAGGTCGTCGTCGTCCATGGGCGCGGCCTGCAGCGAGACGAGCACCTCCATCACCTCCTTGGCGTCCGCCCGGAACTTGTCCTTGCCCACCGCCATGCCCACCAGGCTGATGGCCTCCACCGCCTTGGCGCGCAGCATGCGCTGCTCCTTGTCGCCCGCCTGCGTGAGCACCGTCTTGAGGTACGGCATCACGCCGTCGTAGTACTTCTGGAAGTGCTCCTGCCACACCAGGGAGGGCGGGGAGGGCGGGAGTGGGGGGTGAGGGGAAGGGAGGAGTGCGGGGGGGGGGTAGACGTGAGTGGAATGAAATGGAGGGGAAGGTGCGGAAAGATGGGGACAGCCGTGGGAGCACGGTGGACTGGGGGAGGAGGAGGAGATAGGAAGAGGGGAGAGTGGGGGGGAGGGTGGGTAAAGCAACTGCAGCGCGGCAAGAAGGAAGCTGATGGGAGAAGCCAACGCACACGGAAACAGTGAACCCGCTTGATCAGCATGCAGTCGATGCGGTGAACGCACCTGCGAGCAGTCAGCGATGGCGGCAATGGCAGTGAGCGACCCCTCCTGCACCATGCGCTTGCCAAACTGCCACGCACACACCGAATTCGCACGGAAGGGATGTTCAGACGCCCGAATTCGCACGTGTTACAAGCATCTGGGTGCTTATTTCGCGTGTGAGTGTGTTCATCTGGGTGTTCGTTCGTTCGCGTGGGCCTCTAATCCAATGGCCTCTGGTGGCTCTCCTTCGTATCCTCTCCCCATCTTCCCACAACCCATCACACCCCACGGTCTTCCCACTCCCCAGCACCACCAAACCTGCCCACAAACATCCCCCCACAACTCCCCCTTCCCCCCACCCCTCTGGCACCTGCAGCAGGTGCAGCAGCTTGTTGAGCAGCTGGTCCAGGTACGGCGCCATGATCTCGGGGGTCGCCGCCTCGCTGAAGTTGAGGATGGCGGCGGTGGCGTGCGCCTGCACGCGCGGGTTGGCGCCGTCGTCCATGGCGCCGATGAGCGCAGGCAGCACGCGCGCGTGGTACTGCTGCTGCAGGTCCGGCCCCAGGTCCGTCGACAGCTGCCCCACCGCGTTGATCGCCGCCCACCTGAGCAAAAGGGGGGGCGAATGAATAAGCTTATTCATGTCCAAGTGCATGAATGCACGGGCAAAACTCAGAGATCCCATGCAACACAACTGAGGAGGAATGCTGGCGCAGCGCGCCGATTGGTGCCCCACCTGACCCGCGGGTTGGGGTCGTTGAAGGCGGCGAGCACCATGGCCACCACCGACTCCAGGCTCTTCGACATCACCTGCCAGGGGTTGGGGGCGCGAGGTGCGGGGGAGAGGGCTTTAGCAGGGGATAAAGAAATGGGGAACGAGCGGGAGAGAAGGAGGTGCGGTTCAAGCGCACAGGAAAGTGACCGGTACGGAGAATGAGGCTCGGCTCCTCACCTGATTCCCCCCCGTACAGCCCAAGCCCCTTGTTTGAAGGGCTTACCTTGGTGCACCCTTCCGCGATCTGCTTTTGAGGCGCCTCAAAAATAGACTCCTCACGCATACACAAGCCCCTTGTTTAAAGGGCTTACCTTGGTGCACCCTTCCGCGATCTGCTTTTGAGGCGCCTCAAAAATAGACTCCTCACACATACACAAGCCCCTTGTTTAAAGGGCTTACCTTGGTGCACCCTTCCGCGATCTGCGCTAGACACACGAGCGCGGCGTGCCGCTTCTTCCAATCGGCGTCACTGGCGTACGCGGGGAGCGCCTGCGACGCAACGGGGAGAACGGTGTTCCCGCCCACCGAGATCGCGAGCCTATCGAGGCACTCCTGCGCCACCTCGTAGTTGGCCGACTCGCCCGAATCCTCCTCTTCGTCGTTCGCGGCGTGCCACTCGGGCGTGTCCTCGATGTCCAGCAGCATCGCCATCAGCACTGCGAACAGCCGCCCCACCAAGTGCGGCACCTTGCGCATCATCCCCGGGGCGCGCTCGCGGGCCTCCGCCAGCGTGATCAGGAACTCAATCGCGAGGTGACGCGTGGCGTCCTCCAGCTGCGTGGATTCCGCGATTTGCAGCATGGCGGCGATGACGTCAGTCAGCTGCTTGCGCATGTAGCGCGGCTCGATGCCGGCAACCTCGATGAGCATCTCGAGCGCCTCCTGCGCGCTGGCCTCGTCTTTACTCTGGAGCGCCAGGTTCAGCGTCTGCATCATCCCGGGCAGCAGGTCCTGGAATTGCGTCAGCTCCTCGGGGGTTTCGAGAGCCTCGACAAAATTTGCGGCTGCCCGGAGAGCGGCGATGCGCACGTCGGGATTGGCTGACTGGGAGAGGCACTGCAGGAGAACGTTGTGCAGGGTGGGCAGGTGGGGCTTGAGCTGCGCCTGGAAGAAATGCACCAGCTGCGCGAAGATCAACAGCGACGCTTCTTTCAGGCGGTCGTCTGGCGACGACACGCATTGGAACATAAAAGGAAGCAGCTCCGGCCATGTGCCTGTCTCCACGATCCCCGCGGCGAGCTCGGCGATCGTGTCGCACTGCTTCTTCCAGATCGCCTTCGTCGGCTCGCGCTGCACGCTAGCGAGCAACTCGGACTTGACCGTCGCCTGAGTCGCGGGATTCAGCTGAGGCCATAGCGACACGCTGTCTTTGGTGATCACTCGTCTAAGGAGCACCGCGCCGATGGTTCGCACGTCCGTGCCGGCTGCGGAGGATTGCAGCGCGCCGACGAGGCGGAGAATGAGGGCGTCCGGCTGCTGTTTGCAGAGGTTAAATATGCGCTCCGCCTCGCCTCTGTCGTCGTTCGACGGGGACAGCAGTCGCTGCAGGAGCTGCTCGAACGGCGCGGGGTCTTGGCCCAACACGATCGCCACAGCTGGATCCATGGCCTCGGGGGGTAGAGGACGCCGAATTCAAAGTAACCACGATCGTCCTGGAGTGGAAATAATGGTTAGAGCCTAATTCCTAGGCACTATCTTCCGTGCCAAATAGGGTACAATGACTGACCCTGAAAGTGGTCCACAAAATGGCGAGCAGGAGGATTTGAATGGAGGAGCCATGGAAGAACGATGGGGGAATGGAAGACCATGAACAGTGGTCAGGCGCTTGTCGATGTGTCATGTCACGTCACGCTGCATGGCACGCACAAACGATCAGCTGATTGGTTTGAAGATTTGTCTGCTTTGGTCGGCAAGGGCTCGCTTTGGTTGAAACAGAGTGCCCGAGAACTGTGAAGCCTCGAGAATTGCTCACCTGCCCAACATGAAAAGGTCGACCCCTCACCTCAACTCGCCCTCGTCATTGGTTCGGATGCTCGTCGAACCTGGCGAACTCGAGGTTGAAATAATTTCCCCGTTTTTTTCGCGTTTCTATTGTCCCAAACATTGGGGGTGCCTGGCGGAGCGCGCCAGAAGTTTGGGGCGATTGTTTGAAGTGGTTTACCACCACCATACAGTACGTGGCCTCTTATGAACCTGCGCGTGGAGTCCTAAGTCGAAGGAATAATGTATATGTACCGCTAAGTCCCACAAACTAGGAGTTGAGAAGAAAGCCATTGCCCACAACCATATTGTTGGACGATAATATAAAGCAGCATTCTCCATTGTCTATGGCTGTCATGCACGACAAAAGACTGTCACCCAGGGTGCAGTGTTCTGGTGGGTCACAACAAAACATGTACTAAATGTTATGTGCCAACCAACTTCAGTAGGACTGCAGTCAGATTTAGCCACGAGCTTGCCCCAACCAGAGCTGTCCAGCTCTGGCAGCGCCTATTGCAACGCATGTTCGTTACTTGAGCACCGAAAGCCTCGCTACACTACGCTAGTTCCACCCACCATACCCCCACCAACAAGGCACAGACAGACCAGCTTGGCTGCTGCCCCTCAGGAAGCGGGCTGCATGCTGCTCCGGAGCTTCCCACCTCCCCCTCCCCCCCCCCAACCCCCCCCCCCTTTACCTCCTTACATCCGCTTACCACTGACTTGCAGAGAAGCATGATGGTTGAAGCTGCTGGGGAAGGGAGGGGGGGTGGGGGGAGTGGGGGGACTCCAATCTGCTGGCAGCAGACCACACCACACCTGATACGATACAATGCAAGGCCTATACCACACCACACCACACCTGATACCTTACCTCGCTTACGCCTAGCCCCCAAACTATCCTGCCCTCTAGCTAGGTGGTTGGTGCCCCATGTGCATTGCACACAAGCAGAGAAGGTCTGTGTGCGGTGAGGGAAGGCGAAAGCGAGACTAGTGAAATGCACAAACTGGAATGCGGCACCAAGGGAAAGGGGCACCGTTGGAGGCACAACCACAAGCAACAAACCCCCGAGGGAATCTGCGGGGGCGAACCGCTGTAAGGCTGTAAAGCGGGGCTTGGCCTGGGCGGTTTACCTGCAGTAGGGGGATCTGCGGCTTGTGAGCGGGACTTCAACCAGTGGCAACGTTTTACAGGGAAAGGGCATAGAAGGACATCAAAGCACAATAGGAGCACTAATAATAATAAGAGCACTGAGCAACATGCAAGGCTCAGTTTAGGAGGAAAGGTTACTTAGCTGGAAGTAGAAGCACCGCTGAGAGTGGCTGTCTGCTATCCCCTCCCCCTCCCCTCCACCTGCCATGGCAAGGAGGTGCAAGCAGGCCCACTGAAAGGCCCTGCAGAGGGATTGGGGGGGAGGGGAGGGGTAGGGCAGGCAGAGGTTGCGGAGGGGACCTGACGGAAACATCCATTTGAAAGTAGACGGATGGGGTTGACAGGGCCACTGGTTGACGGAGTGCAGTGGACAAAAGCGTCGGCTGGCTCGAAGCAGCTGAAGTTGACGGGAACAGTTTGCTTGACAAAAAACAGGACAAGCTTGACGACAAATTTGCCCAACCAATCTCCTTCCACGCACCTGATGGTAACTGTAGCTTGATGGTAACTGTAGCTTGACGGCAACCATTAGGTTGACGGAAACCTCAACCTATCGTCACATCGCTGCAACAAAGGCTCGCACGGCATTATCGCCGTTGTGTCCTCGATAGAATCTGTCGAGGGAGTCACCCGCTCGCAAAAATCGTGCCGATTGGAAGCAATGCGACGAAACGCCAACGAACGGCGCGCCTTGCGACCACCAACTCGGCGAACAGGCATGTCAACGATTGCGATGGGCGACCGGTGCGTTTGTTGCAACAGCGACGACCGATTGTGTGGCGGACGCCCGGCATGTGGACGACATGAAGGCTGCGACGGACGTCGCGATTTGAAGCGTCAAAGCGGTCTAAGCTTGTTCGTCTAGCTGTGTTCTAGGATATAGAGCTCAACCGGCCTAGTTGCTAGCGGCTACGACGCTCTGAGAAAGCGGTGAGTGAGAGTATCCGGGGACGAGGAGCGGAGAGAGGAAACTGAAAATGATAGGACCGGACCGGAGTTGGAGAGAGGACGCGGTGGGTGAGGCGAGTGAGGCTGGGTGAAAGCGAGGTCACCATGGTGCGAGGCAGGGAGCGTGACTCGAAAGGGGAAACCGACCATCCTTTCCCGAGGTATCACTGACGGTGGACCTTCGCCGCCGTGAGCCAGTGAGCTTCGAGGGGGATTGCACGAGTCGCACGGTTTCATTCTGGGCGGGAAGGCTTGGCGAAAGGTCGATAATTAACGCTAACCGATTGCCAAAAACGGCGCGAAACTTGTTCAACAGGGAGTTTGGTTGTCTAGGCGCGTTGAATGAGACGCGTATCCGATTTGCCGAGGTGAGTGCGATTCGACGCGGCGGAAGTACCCTGAGGTTGGGATAAATGAGACCCATCTGAACGGCGGCCATGGCTTGTTCGAGGTGAGTTTCAGAGGGAAGGAATGGATTTTGGAGAAGGGCAGCGGACGCGATACAAGCTCAAGCGCATAGCAAGATGAAATCGCTGTGATGATATTCGTGATGTTATGATAGCTGCATGCTATCCTTCCTGCTGGATTGTTTCAAAATCTTGTGCTATTTGGATAACTAAATCTCTTCCTGTAACGAGGACGCTCATGTCGAGCTCGTGATCAGTAAGGCGGTGAGCGAGGCTCTTCCCTGACTGGCCAGCCTGCCCCCTGCGCCTTTGGAACGGAGCCGTATTGGCTGAGACACATTTCCAGAAGACTACAGTTATCTTCTGTTTGATGCGTGGATGAAGCCGCTTCTCGGGCTTTTTTTTCTCCCGAATTGCAGGCCACAAGCCCACTGCATAGGAGGGGGGAAGCCAATGAATGAACAAAATGAGATTACTGTACAGTTTTCTTCTCAACTTTATCGACGGAGTTTCGGCAATCCCCACAGCTTCCCTCCACCATCCCCGCTTCTAACTTGAAACTATCAGCGAATCACGGAATGCCATGGAGCGGCGTCGGCGTTGCGTGCCAATGGGATGTTAAGCTTTTCCAGAACAGCTTCCAGAAACGTTGGAAGGACTAAAGTGCGTTGCGTGCGTCATCCATGTCATCGATGACTCACTGGATAAGGCGCACCCGCTTCAATAGCGGCGTTGGATGGTACGATCCATGCGAGGCGCTTTCACCATTGGTTAGGCTTCGGGTCTTAATGGGTGCAGTCCCTTTTTGACGTGGAATTGTTCCTCACTGACGTTTCTACCGTTTTCAGTGACGAGGAGAGCTCCAGGAGTCAGTTGTGTGGAAGTCATGCTCAGCAAGGGCGTCAACTTCGCGATTGGTGCAAGTTAATATCTTATCCAGGCTGCCATTCCCAAAAAGCAGGAACACCCCCAAAGCTTAGCCGAACCAGTCTGGACAAGGAATGTAGGGCCCATCGAGCCTCGGCCACGTCTGCTCAGCTTCCTAGCCTGATCACTTTCGCCACCGCAGCGTCGATGGTTGTTGGTTGGCCTGGTTGTGCGAGATCTACAAAAGTGACGCGGCTCGGCTTGGCTGAAAACAGGCAGGCAACGCACGCGGGTGGGGCTGCTTCTGAATCTGCTCTCTAGGGATTGACGACGACACAAGCGGAGGGGATCTGCTGCCCTGTGTGCTGCCGTGTCTTGTCGTTCAGTGGCCCACTCTCTCCGCTCCACCCACCTCGGCCTCGCGCAGCCCTCACAGGCCCATATGATCCGTGACTCCTATCAGACAGACGTCACGATCAGAAATAATCACCTTTCACGGAGTGAAGCAGATAAAAATCAGAGTTCTGGACCAGCTCCAAGTGGTGTATCTCGTTAGTTGCGCTTCAGAGACTGCTCGTTCACAGCGCGAAATTCCTAGTACCGTCCCTAATAGTCAGTGATTTCTATTCCTCCGACGCATTGTCCAGCACCTCCCTAGCCCAGCAACGCCTCTTCACGCACTCGCCGCCATGAGTTGCAACGGCTGTCGCGTGTTACGAAAGGGCTGCAGCGAAACCTGCGTCATTCGCCACTGCCTCGCGGGGATCGACGGCGCGGAGCCGCAGGGCCACGCAACGCTCTTCCTGGCGAAATTCTTCGGGCGCGCGGGCCTCATGGGCTTCATCGCGGGAGTGGAGGAGACCCAGCGGCCCGCGCTCTTCCAGTCGTTGCTCTTCGAAGCGTGCGGTCGCACCATCAATCCCGTCTTCGGCGCTGCGGGTCTGCTCTGGACGGGCCAGTGGCACCTCTGCGAGGCCGCAGTCGACGCCGTGCTTCGCGGAGGGTCGATAAAGCCGACATCCGACGCTTCCTCTCCAGCCGCCGCCACTCTCGCGACCAATCCTCCTCCATGTTCCCAACTCCCCCCTCTCACTCCCCGCCCAGTCGCACCCCCCTGCGCGGTCCCAGCTCCCACCGTAATGGCGCCAGCAGGGCCAGCCATGATGGTCGGAAGTTCCGCCGCGCCTTCCGCATTCCCGCCTTCCGTGTTTCCCGGCGCCGCGCCATTCTTCCCCAGCGCGATGAGCGTCCTGAGGCCGCGTGGCGGACTGCCCGTGACGGCGACCGTGCTCCCCGCCTTACCTGGCGCTGGCAGTGTGAGTCCGCCGTTATTCGGCGGAATCGCCGCCAACTACGCTCCGCAACAC